CGAGATCTCGCAAAAGTATTGTGGGATCTAGCAAAAGTGTATTTTTTATGAGATCTCGCAAAAGGTTTGTGGGATCTCCCAAAACTGTATTTTTTCCCTCCATGTCCCTTTAGGGGCTCCGTAGCTTTCAATGTGAAATTGAATTTCCCTGAAGGAATAATCCTGAGGAATAAATCCAGTCTTAACCAGGGATTAAGTTGAACCTCTGAAGTAAACAGAAATGTTTCACTCCATTTATTAAGATATAACGCAATTACTTCCATATTTAAATAAACATAATTATTAATTTACATTACTTTGTTTATTCTTTTAATTTTACAGCAAAATTAACATTTAATTCACGTATTATATCAATCAAAACATCTACTGAATTATATGTATTATTCTCAGGCATCATGGATTTTGACGGCCGCCCCATTGGTGTTTGGAGTCCTCCCCGGGGGCCCCGACCCTCATTTTGAGAACCTCTGGTCTAAAATCAAAAATTTAAATCAATCAGGATTAAAAAGCATTAATTTGGTTCTGTCTCTAATTTTCTTGGTTTCCTTTAGAGCAGAAAAAGATGAACTAGATGTGATTATTACAAGATGTAAAGAAATAGAAATATTTTATGTAACTGGTTTCCTGAAGGAGCAGATTTTAAATTTTGTATTTTTTTGGCAGAAAGATTAAAGAATGAATGTTTTTATTTATTTAATCATCTTTTTCAGCTATGATGGGAACATAAAGTCAAATATAAACAATAAAAACCAAACGCTTAGACACATTTCAACCTATATATGAATTTCTGTGGCTCAGATCAAAGGCATCGCCATGGTAACGTGTCAAAGAGGTGACTTTATGCAAAACCTGACATTTTAGTTTTAATTCACAATTTTTATCTGCATGATGAAGAGGCTAAACCAGCCAATCAGAGCCCAGCAGGATGAATAAGGAGGCGGAGCAGCTGATGGGTTCAGTTCCAGCTGATTTATTCTCAGACATAAACAGACTTTATGGTAAAAACCACCAAGTTCAAACATTTTCCTCTCTGCTACAAAATAAAGAGAAATGAAATAAAAACGCAGGAAGTTCGTTTCATCGTTTTTCCTTCATATTGCACAAAAAATAATGAGCAACAAAAACAAGAATGTGCTGCTGATGAAGTGATAGAAAAATAATTAAAATACGTAACAGAAATGTCCAGTTTCTCCTCCTGCTCTCGTTACAATCAGTCACACAAACTTTTCTTTTTTCTTTTTTATCTATTTATACACATTTACACGGCGAGCAAAGATCCGTCTGTCTGGACGCTCTTTAAAAACAACTGCAAGGCTTTAAGTCAAAGAGCAGAACCGGAACCAACAGGAAGAAAACAAACAAGTGCCTGACATTCCCTCTGAATGTACAAAAATATGCCTGAAAATAGTTTTTATTATTATTATTTTTAGAAAGATGAGGTATGTTTGGTTTGCTGATATCAAAAAGGATCAGTTTGGGTTTAAGGAGCTGAAAAAATAGACGATAAGAAAAAAGTTACATTGAAGACCTGAAGTCCTGCAGCTGGACCAGGTCCTGGTTTCTGGACCAGGTCCTGGTTTCTGGATCAAAGTCCTGGTTTCTGGATCAAAGTCCTGGTTTCTGGATCAAAGTCCTGGTTTCTGGACCAGGTCCTGGTTTCTGGATCAAAGT